AATGCTTTTACTTGTTTTAAGATCAGAGATAGTTAATCTGTGGCAGAAGTATGGATGAAGCTCTCTTCAATCTGAATCAAGCGCTTCCGAGCTGATTATAGTATTACTGCTGAAAGCATCAGTAATAAGAAGTAGCCTTATCTTATGGAAAAGCTGTTGGAGGTTTATTGTGAAGCATTCTAGGAGAAGACTTAAGACCAACTTGCCTCCAGTGCTACTAATCTTCAACTTCATTAACAGGCTCAATTCCAAGGTTCTTCTATGCTTCCATCTTAGCTGATCCTTGATTAGATATAGCTTGTTCCTATTCCACATCCGATATATAGTACTCTCAGTTAACCGATGAATCCGTTAGAACAAGCAGTAGAGCTATCATACTATTAACTGCTTCAATAGTTAACTTGTAATTAGCAAGCTTAGCCTGAACTAACTAAGCAGATCTTGAAAGCTGAATCTGCTCAGAAGAGCAACTAAGAATATAATCAGTTAGCTTCAATAATGGAGCAACTCTGCATTAACCAAATTGCAATAGCAAAATCCTTAAAGCTGCAAACTGATGCTTTCAAACAGATGCAGGATATCTTGTATAATCAAACCAAAGCTCTACAGGAGATCTTACAACTAATTAAGCATTTCCAAACTATTTCTGCAAGGAATCCTCTTCAGAGGAATGCAAATTCCTTGCAGATGGGTATTATCTATACAAGTTCGGAGAATAAGAGGAAGCAGTACTCTGAAGCATAGCAAGCGAAGATTAATGAAATCCTGAAGAAGGATAGAACTCTGCGCAGATGCTACAGCTATAGATCGAAGTTCTATAGAGCTTATGAGTGCATGGAACTCCGTACTATTATGAACTGTAGCATTTGCTATGCTTCAGCATTAGCAAAGCTAGAGTAGCATCTTAGCAATCGCTCAGAGTTTCTAAACTCTAAATCAAAACTAGTATTATATAGCCAGATCATATCCGCTCAAGATAATCCCAAAAGTGATATAATCCGTCTAATTCTCGATCTCTGTAAGAATCAGCAGCTAAAGGATGTTGAGAATTCTTAGATCTCTCAATATGTTAGCTTGATTCAAGAGGATGAGAAATAGTATGGAGACTCTGAGATAGCTAAGAATAAGATACTGTAAGAAGAAACTGACTCCATTTTCAGATACAACAATTAGTATAGAACTAATAATATTGAGATCCTTAGCAATGCTGGTGAGATTCAAGTGGGGAAGTTATATCTTACTCCAGCTCAAGCTGAACTATACCTACCAAAGCTTTCCAGCATCAATGCTGTAAATGTTGAGCTTGTTCAAGCTCAGGTAAATGCAGGTGAAGCAAAGAAGCGCTGTATTGAGGAGGCTGAGTATGATGATAGTGAGGTTGGAGGAGATGCAAGTATGAGAACTATTAAGATTTCTATATATTTCGGGAATATTGGATTAGAGGAATCCAATAAGCAATTCAACAGTCTGAATAGAGAGCTAACAGTTCAGGCTATTAGTAATAAGCTCCTAAATCAGTTTCTAAACTATCTGTTGAAGGTTTCAGGCTGAGAGATGATAGTTATGTTATTAGGATGGGAAGCCTGTCTGATTCATAGTCTTCAAGGAGTTAGCTCTGAAGCTTGAAAAGTTATTAATCTTGATAATCAAACTAGCTTGGATTTGCACAAGGTAGATACTGCTGAATCAGCCAATTCATTGCAGCATAAATCCGGAATCTCGATACTTTCCCAGCCTGAAGAGCTTATTGATAGTCAGATTATCAATACTTGGGATATTACTGAGTATCTTTCGAGACTAGCTTAACTATCTGCAGTTCAAGCTTTATTTCTTGTTGCTGAATCTAGCTATATCAAGCTTACTGTTAACATGATTCGAGCTTTCAATAAATCTTCATTTCCTTCTGTAATGGCTTTTATAACTGCTCTTAGCAGCATTCAAGATAGAAGCATTGCTCCAGTAGCATATATCCCTCTGCAGCTAGGAGGTAAAGAGAATGAATCTGTACAAGCAATGCTGGATACAGATGCTGAAATGAGCTTGATAGCTCTCTTTCTATGTTTAAGCATACACTTGTCTTATATGCCAACATCGAATATTATCTTATGCATATATAATGGATTAGATATAGCGCTTGTTGAAGTTCTTAAAATCAATATTTTCTGTAATAGCTTCTCTAAACAGATAATATTCTATATTATCAATAACAGATTGATATTATCAAATCATCCTATGCTATTAGAAATACTATTTGTAATGCAAACTAAGCTTTTCTTTGATTACTCTATTCTCGGATTTCTCTATACAAGCTTCGCTTTTGGAGAAGTACAACTGGTTATCATAATCAGCGATCAGAAACTCCTTGAAAAGGAGAGTTTATATAGAACTACACCAAAAAACTGAGTGCTAGCAGCTATTCTAAGGAATGCAGAGCTATCAGCAGAGAAGTTATCTCAGAGTGAGTATTGTTGAAGAAGGGAGATACAGCTGTGATGTTCATATCTGAACGAGACATTGCAGCTGTTATGAATGAGTTAATAGTAGAACTGATAAGAAGAAAGTTGAAGAAGAGTTGCTTCATAGTAAATAAGGAAGGAGCAACCCAAGAGTCTTGCCTGTGTGGAATGCACAGCAGCTAGCACTATTCATGCTAGCTATGTTATATAGAGAAGGAAAGAAAAGATATCTTAGACTTGATTAATACTCTTTACAAGCTTAAAGACAAGAAGATTAAGCTAATTAATGATTCCCAGCTTAATAGTTTAGTATCAGAAGGGATGATCAGGTGAAAGCCTGCTAAGATTGAGGAGATGAGATGAGCTCAGCAATCTACAAAGCTTACCAAGTATAATAAGTGGATTGAACCCAAGTTCAGCAATCTGAATCCTAATCAGTACCTGAAATCTGACTAGTAGGCTGCTATGCAAGAGAAAAACTATGAAGGATTTTCTGAAGCTGAGAAGGAAATATTCAAATATATATTAAGAAACAGAATCAAAGCTCTTGCATAGAACTTTACTGAGATTGGAAAGATCATTGAGGAAGTAGCTTTCTTGCAAGAAATCAGAACTGTACTTTACAAGATTTTTTAAGTAAGGCATATTCCAATCCCCAATGCTCTCAGACTAAAGCTAATGAAGCTTCTGAAACAATATATCAGGCAGAAGATTATTGAAGAAAGCTATATATTATACAGAAACAACTAGTTTCTTATTATTAAAAAGAATAGTAGCTTATGCCTAATCAATGATGCTCAAAAGTATAATAAGCATAGCTTTAAGAATGCCTTTATACTGCCTGCCTCAGATGAATTCTCAAAGGAGTTCGCTATATGCAAGATTCTTTTACTGCTTAACTTCTTTTCCGAGTATAACCAAGTGCAACTGCATCCTAACAGCAGAGATATAATAATCTTCTTAACGCCTTTAGGCTTGTTTAGAATGTATACTCTATTCCAGAATGCTACCAACTCTATTGCTCAGTTTATGAGAATAATAGTTAGATTTCTGTATAATCTTATTCCTTATATATGCTAGCCTTTCCTCAATAACATTCCTGTTTGTAATTCTACAACAATCTATGGGAATGAAGAGATTCCGAGCTTTCCCGGAGTGCATAGATACATTGCTAAGCACATTAGAAACCTTAACAAGATTCTTATAAATACAGAGCTAGCTGGAGCTATAATCTCAGCATTTAAGTTAGAATAGTGCTGAGTAAAAGTTAATATAATTGATTATATTATCAGTTCCAGCGAACAACAATCTTAGAATAGAAAGATGGAAAAGCTTCTAGCCTGGATAGAATGCAAGAATATCAAGAATATTTGCTCTTTCATCAGACTGATCATCTATTATGCAGCTTGGATTTGAAACTTTACAATCATTGCTCAACTGCTCTACAATCTTCTCAAGAAAGATGCTATATGAAGATGGGAGAAGAAATAGAAAGAAGCTGTTGCTATACTTATCCAAATACTTACATCTTGTTCAATCATTATTTCAATTAATTATAGCACTAATACTGAGAAGATTATTCTTATAATGAATGCAAGCCTGTTAAGCTGGAGCGCTGCACTAATGCAGATAGTAGAGGATAAACGAAAGCCAGTATATTTCGTTAGCGGAATCTGAACAGTTGCAGCACAGAAGTATAATGCTACTAAGAGAGAGTATTGCACTATTCTCTGTATCCTATAGTTTCTTCAGCAGCATCTCTATAATTGCTATTTCATTCTAGAAACTAATGCTTGCATTCTAGTAGATTAACTCAATAAAGAAATGAACAATATACCCAGTGCTCTTCTGAATAAATGAGTAGCAGTAATCAAGATATTTAACTTTACTATTAAATACATTCTCGGGTTAAAGAATCCTGTAGCTAATGCTCTTTCTCAATCTCTATATTCAATGCTATCTAAGAAAAATGAAGATAGCAATATTGAGAACTAGTATAATGCTCAGCTTAATAGCATAAACTTAGATAAAGCTAACTTAGTATTACTGCTAAATCCAACTCTTTAGTAGATGAAATAGTTGAAATGATATGCAGAGTTCTTATGCTATAGAATTATTCTACTAAAACTCTCTAAAAAGAATTGCAAGAACTTTATAGTAGAAATATTAAAGCATTAAGTACTTGATTAAGCTTTATAGCGCTGTACTGATACGAAACTTTCATGCTAATAAATAGTAGATAATTCTGATCTTTGTTGCTGAATTATTAGAAAATGTTATGCTAAGTTTGAATATTAAGGTTGAGATTTTATAGTAGCTCGTATTAAGCAATTCTACTACTAGAGAGATCTCTGAATAGATGTAGCTAATGCTATCTCGGATTGCAAGAAGTATACAAAATTCGATTCAAAGATGTAAAAGAAAGAAGTAATTTCAATCCTTTCAAATCAACTCTTCACAAGAATCAGCATTAACATTCAACATATAGCTGAGAATAGTGATTACAGATATCTTACAGAGGCTTGCTGTAACCTGACTGGCTATATGCTTGCAAAACCTCTTAAGAAAGCTACAGCTGCGGAAATAAGAAAGTTCATTTTGAAAGAGATCATTCTTATATTCGGATGCTCTCTTAAAATTACTGTTGATAAAGAACCAGAAAACAAGGCTGAAATAGCTAAGATCATTAGAGCTCTTGGGATCCTGCTTATCCAGATCTTCAGTTATAATCCCCATGCTCAAGAACAAGTAGAAGCTGATTATCTTTCCTTAGTAAATGCCTTTGCTAAGCTAGCTAATGCTCAATCCTGGAAATGAAAGCAGTACTTAAGACTTGTACTCTTTGCTGAAAGAACTATAATCTGCTAGTTGCATGGATATAGCTCCTTCTATTTGATTTTCGGTTGGAAGCTGCTTGTTCCAATTGAAACTGAAATCCCAACGTGAAGAGTTCTTATATGGATCAAAGACTAATCCTCTCAGAAAGCGTTTGAAATGCAGTTGAGAATGATTGCAGCTAAGAAAGATAATATGCAGAAGACAATTGAAGCTATCTAGATATATTATCAAAAGATTGCAGCTAAAAGTCAAATGCAGAGTTTGGTATAAAAATCTCAACTGAATATCAGAGATCTTATACTTATCTATAATTACATTCGGAAAATAAGCTACTTATACAATGCTAAGATCTCTTATAAGTGAAAGAATTTATATCTAATTGCTTAGATTCTAAACAAACATACTTATAAGCTCAAGACTACAGATAGAGTTCTGCTAAAAAGCATATATTCAGCTACTAATCTCAAAAAGTTTATACGAAATATAAATAGCATTTGAGAATCCGAGATGCTTATACTCTAAGAAGAAGATATCAAGCTTCAATCTAGCTAATTATTAGCAGAAAAGCTGGATTCAATAAGAGCTTTCTAGCAAGGAGAACCAGATAACAATATTCTTGAAATTCAGAAAGCAGATTCAAGTAACAATGCTATATTCTGAATTTCAGACATTATTAAGCACAACTCCATGCTTAGCTAGACTAGTTCTAATCCAGAGATTATTAAGCTAGCAACTGAAGCAGATAATAATGCTGAGGATGGAAATGAAGTTAGTAATAGTGAATATTTCATACAAGCAGTAGAGAAGAAGAAGCAAGAACAGGAGAAAGCAGATAGAAGTAGGATATTTATACCAATTCCAACTAAATTAGTATTTCTAGCTTGTAGAGGAGATTGATTTCTTTCTATTCATATTTCCTTTTGTTTGCAAAATACATTTTCTTTTCATCTTTTCTATTCCATCTTATATATTTTGCTGAAAGAGGAGGAATGAAGTATTATCTGCTATCACTCGCTACAGAACACTATAAACCCACTTAAAAATTTCAAAGCATTCAGCACAGAGCATATTAACCAGCTCTAAAGCTATTTTTATTATTCAAAAATTGCAGTATATTAGAATGCAACACATGAAAAATGCAGAACGCTAAAGAAACACTGCAATCTATGAAAACCTCTTACTTTTATACATTATTCTCATTACTAGAATATTCATAAATATCATCCAATAGCTCTCTCCTTATCCTATCCAGATTTATATTATCCGTATCATCCGCTAAAGAATCATTATTAAAAACAGAGGAAGAATCTTGAAACTAAACGAACTTAGCTCATTTCTCAATACAAGATCCTACTACAGCCTTACTCTTGCCTTTATTCTTGCTGCAAAATACAGATTATAGAGCTGCTTGCTCAGATTCAGATACTTCCTTCTTAGAAGCAGAAGAAGCAATACTCTTCTTACTAATCTATACAGATAAAGTTAGCAGTAATCTTCTTAAACATTGCAATCATAGTTAGTTATAAGATTTACAGTATCCTGTAAATACTATTTCCTTAGTATAAAAGAAACTTATTTAATCTGGTTATATGCAATACTTTTATTCTGCATAAGCTTGTATTGAGCTTTAATAATACGCTTAATGTTAATATTAGAGTTAATTTGAGAATCTATTTCGATTATACATTAAGAGCCGAATTAGTAAAACAAATGCTAATGCTGCAAGAAGAACAATGATTAGTATATACTCAAATCTGATCAAGAATATTAGAATAGAAATCTTACTTATATACTACATTCTTTAATATAAGGAAAATCTTTAGTATAGTTATACTCAGATTCTATATAATAAATACAGTTGCTATACTTCTTATTAAAGAAGCTTTCTATTAAGATGCATTCTAGGAAAAGCTAGTTAATATTAATCTGCTGCTTCTGGATAAGCATACAAGCAGTAGCATACTAATAGGAGCAGCAATCGCAAGGAACTAGATTATGCTAACTATAGAATTGAATAAGAAGGGAATTTACTTGCTCAGGGCGGGAGAAGATGCAAGTAAGATACTTGCTAAAGAGCTTCCAACCAGCTTTATACATTACAATAGGATTCAGTTTGATAGAATTCTTATTATTTAGCCTTGCAAAATGAGCAGTAAAGCTAGAGCTTAGCAGTGAGTTGTTTCAAAATATGATATTGCTTTGAATATTCCAAGAAGCATATATTAAGCTAAGATCTCTCTTGATAGTATTAAAGTTTGTAATGTTAAGGAAGTTAATATAGACATCCTTGAGCTAGTAATAGTTGCTGCTCTGAGGAGGAGAAACTGAAGAAGAAAATCAGATTCAGATCTTATCAATCTCTTGAGAAGCAGTGTTTATCTGCAAAGAGAAAACAGTATTAGTAATAATTCGAGATATCTTGAGTATATTGCAGAGCTGAGCAAGGGAAGATTGATAGAAGGAGAAGTTGTTATGCAAAGAATGAATTGAAAAGCAAGGTGAACTGAGGGAGAGATTGTTAAATAGTTTGCTGAAGGTTGATGAGATAGCAATGAATAATAAATACATTCAACTGAGTTACTATGCTTTCTATTCAGTCTGTTGCTGAATAGCTTCTATCTAGCTAAAGATGAAGCTGTTTGCTTTGTAATAAATAGAAAGCAGTAAATTACTTGAGTAGTTGCTAAACAAGATAAATTAGCTATTCTATTTATACTTGCAGCTAGCTATTTTTCTTCCTCCTTCAACCTCTTTACAATCACCTTTCTCAAGCATATATATACCCTTTTTCTTTCTTATCAACGCTACTTCAGACCTGTATATCAATATCAAAGCAAATTGTTAACTGCTCTGCTTACATAACATCATCTTTCTTAACAGATCCTTAGGCTAAAGCTGCATTCTTCTCTACTTTTCTTTCTTAGTTAATACCTTCTCAATCTCTTGATTTTACATCTTTGCAAACTCCTCTTGCAATTGCTTACCTTTCAACAAAGCTGTTCTTTCTTTTTTACTTTCCTTTTGATTTAGCAGCAATAGCCGAATTCAAATACTCTTTATTCCTATCTGTTCAGCATAGCTAAGAAAACTGAATAATCAAAGCTTACTGCTTTCGAACTGTTTTTCCCAAAGCGCTATACTCAACTGAAGTAATCAAGAGTTATTCGCTCTATTTCAGTTTAAGAAACGAAGAAAATTATCTAGCAGCAGAATTCATCAAGAAGTACTTCCCAGAATTACTCCCTTGTAAATCGTACTTGCTTACAATCTTCAGCGCTAATCCTTTCAAATATCTTCTCAATATTTATAATCTAGTTGGATTCTTAAATGCAGAAGTTTCTCAAGATATTAGTTCGCAGCATGCTGTAGCTGCCTTTCATTATTATGCTCAGTATAATCAACAAAATGTATTCTTGATGAAATGCTTTTGTATTCTATCAATAGCTTATTCATTAAGCTCTTCTAATATTCTCAATAAGCAAGATCTGCTCAGATATAAAGCTAAATAGAAGCGCTTATAAATTCTTTTCTCAGTTAATATAGCAATTTCAGCTTATACTCTATCTTAGCTTGATATAAAAACTGAAAAAGGATTTTATATTGCTATATACAAATCCGGCGATATTCTACTAGCTTATATAAGCAAGCACTATCTGAATAGTTAGCTCAGAAGTGCTAGAGCTAATTAGGATTGGAATTTCGAGAATATTCCAACTATGCTGCTAGATAATAATTCGAATGCAGCTCTGCTCTATATAATCGAACTATTTCGCTTTCGAATTCTGAAATCTACTGATTTCTACTAATCACCTAGTAGCTGTTCAGACTGGAGGCAAGCTTTCTATTTTAATTATAAAGAGATTGTACAAAATGTAAAAGAATGGGATGTAGAGATAGCTATAACGAGCTTGCACTGCTAGGCTTTCTTCTATAAGCTGGAATACAGCAATTATATGCGATATCCTAATCAGCTATTAAGAAGAAGTGCTTCACTTCAAGAATACAAGGCTGTACAAGTAAAAGCTAGTAGAATACTGAATATAATCTACAAGCCGAATGTTACCTTCTTCGTAAGAAGAGTTGCAGACTTGTCTGAACTATCTATTGAAAGCGATCTCGATAGAATGAGAAGGAATATATCAGCCTTTGCTCTGGAGGATTTCAGAGCGAGTAGAATACCCAGCCTAGTTCTATCAAAACAATAGTTCCGAGAGAGTACAGCTTCAGCTAGCCCAATCTTGCATTCATCAAGAGAATATAGTATTAGCTCAGAATTAAGTCAACTCCCATTCAGAACTCCTATCGATCCTTACTTCTCTTTATCTCAAGAAATACCTATTAATCCAGAACCAATAATCAATCTGTTAATGCAGCAAACAGCTAAGCCTGAATATGCTATTGAAGCTCCATTGCATCAGAGACTGAGAAGCAGTAACATCATGCCTCCCAGTTTTCCTAATAGATCTTAGAAGCCTCATATGCTTCTATGGAATGAGCTTCATAGCTTTAACCCTATCAGGCTTTCAGTAAGTTCTCCGAACTGAACAGAGTTCAATCATGCTATCAAGATGGATATGTATAAAGCGGACTGCAAAAGAATCCGTTGAGTAAGGATGCAGTGAACCAGAACTAGGGCGCCGTCGCCCTCGAAAGAAAAAGGGACAAACAGCTGCCGAAGCAATGGGCAAGGGCTCATGCAACCCAAGCGTGCCTGTACAGATGAGGACAGCAAACTAAGGCCACACGGGCACAAGAACAGGGTGAAAAACCTGTCTTAGACCTGTCCAAGGGGTTCAAAAATTGAAAAGAAGAGAAAAGGATGCTTGATTGTTGCTTATAGCTAAAGAATTTGAAAAGTGGGTGGTATCCTTTATATGTATGAGGACCCTTGACCCACTGTACTCCACGTCCCACGGACTACCACCCTGGCCACCACAACAGTCCTCCCCCAGCAACTTTCTTCCAAAGTTGCGACAAGTCCAATGGTGTGCCAGGTCTGATCAGAGGGAGATGAAGTAAAGAAATAAAGAATTCATCGCAAACTGCCAAAGGAAACACTGCAAACCGAACCATCCCCCCAATTCAACCCTCATGCCTCTCCCTATCGCTTGAGCCATCATTCAAATCAACGCAGGAGTATCAGTATCCATCTTCAGTCCATTCGTAACACGGGCACGACCTGGACAGATCCTAACGCTGACCTCTTCTCTGTCCCCGTCTGCTCTCAAACTCTGCTCGAGCAGCAGCAGCAGCAGCAGTTCTCTCCTGATTCTGCATTCTCACTCGACGGATCCTTTCGCAGTCCGCTTCATACATATCCATCTTGATAGCATGATCGAACCCTGTCCAGTTCGGAGAACCCACTGAGGGCCTGATAGGGTTAAGGCTATGAAGCTCATTCCATAGAGGCACACGAGGCTCCTGAGGTCTATCAGGAAAACTGGGAGGCATGATGTTGCTGCTTCTCAGTCTCTGATGCAATGGGGCTTCAGTAGCACGTCCAGGCCTAGCTGTTTGCTGCATTGACAGGTTGATTGTCGGTCCTGGACCGACAGGCGTTCCTCGAGGTGAAGAGGAGTAAGGATCGGTAGGAGTTCCGGATGGGAGTCGACTTAACTCTGAGCTGATACTACGTCCTCTTGATGAACGCAAGATCGGGCCAGCTGGAGCTGTGCTCTCTCGGGACTGTTGTCTTGACGGAACTAGGCTGGGTGCCCTACTCGCTCTGAAATCCTCCAGGGCAAAGGCTGATATGTCCCTCCTCATCCTGTCGAGATCGCCTTCAATAGACAGTTCAGGCAAGTCTGCAACTCCTCCCACGAAGAAGGTAACATTCGGCTTGTAGGTTATGTTCAGTACCCTACCGGCTTCCACTTGTACAGCCTTGTATTCTTGAAGTGAGGCACTCCTTCTTAATGGCCGATCAGGATATCGCGTATAGTTGCTGTGTCCCAGCTCATAGGAGAAGGCCTGGCAGTGCAGGCTTGTCATAGCCATCTCCGCACCCCATTCTTCCACATTTTGTGCAGTTTCTCTATGGTTAAGATAGAGAGCTTGCCTCCAGTCTGGACAGCCACTAGGTGATTGGTAGAAATCAGTAGATTCCAGGATTCGAAGGCGAAACAGTTCGATTGCATAGAGCAGAGCTGCATTCGAATCGTTATCCAGCGGCGTAGTTGGAACATTCTCGAAATCCCAATCCCGATTGGCTCCAGCACTCCTGAGCTGACTGTTCAGATAGTGCTTGCTTGCATGAGCCAGTAGGGTATCGCCGGATTTGTGCACAGCGATGTAAAATCCTTTTTCAGTCTTCATATCGAGCCAAGACAGAGCACAAGCTGAAGTCGCTGTATTGACTGAGAGGAGAACCCATAGGCGCCTCTGTCTAGCCTCATGTCTGGGCAGATCCTGTTTATTGAGAATATCAGGAGAGCCAGGTGGATGGGCTATCGATGGAACACGAAGGCATCCCATCAAGAATACGTCTTGTTGATTGTACTGAGCGTAATGACGAAAGGCAGCCACAGCGTGCTGCGGACCAATATCTTGAGGGACTCCTGCATCTAAGAATCCGACCAGATCATAGATATCGAGAAGGTGTCTGGAAGGATTGGCGCCGAAGATCGTGGGCAAGTACGACTTGCGAGGGGGTAACCCTGGGAAGTACTTCTCGACGAGTCCTGCTGCCAGATGATTTTCTTCGTCCCTTAGACTGAAGTAGGGCGGACGACTCTTGATCACTTCAGTTGGGTACGGCGCTCTGGGAAAGACAGTCCGAAAGCAGTAGGCCTTGGTCATCCAGTCCCCTCGGCTATGCTGGACAGGTGGGAACAGAGAGTACTTGAATTCGGCCATTGCTGCTGAGTCGAAAGGAAAGTGAAAAGGGAAGAACGGCTTTGTCGGAAGGTGGGCAATTGCGAGAGGGGTTTGCGAAGGTGTAAAGTCAAGGGACCGAGAGGGTGTTGACTGAGGAAGAAAGGTAGAGAAGAATGCAGCTTCAGCCTGAGGATCTGTCGAGGAAGGTGATGTTATGTAAGCAGAGCAGTTGACAATTTGCTCTGATGTCGGTGTACAGGTCTGGGGCAGCGTTGACGAGGAAGAAAAAGGGTGTGTGTATGCTCGAGAAAGGTGGTTGTGAAGAGGTTGAAGGAGGAAGAAGAATAGCTGGCTGCGAGTGTGGATGGAATGGCCAATTTATCTTGTCTGGCAACTACCCAAGTGATTCACTGCTTTCCGTTTGTCACAAGGCAAACAGCTTCACCCTTGGCCAGGTAGGAGCTGTCCAGCAACAGACTGGATAGAAGGTGTGGTGACTCAGTTGGGTGTGTTTGTTACCCATTGCCATCTCATCAATCTTCAGCAAACTGTTCAACAATCTCTCCCTCAGTTCACCTTGCCTTTCAATTCATCCTTCGCACAACAACTTCTCCTTCTGTCAACCTTCCCTTGCCCAGCTCTGCAACACACTCAAGATGTCTCGAATCGTCACCGACGCTGTTTTCTCTTCGCGGGTAAACACCGCTCCTCAAGAGGTTGACAAGGTCTGGATCTGGTTTTCTTCTTCGGTTCCTCCTCCTCAGGGCAGCAACTACCACTGGCTCAAGGATGTCCATGTCGACTTCCTTGACGTTACAGACTTCAACACCATCAAGGGAGACCTTGGCTTGACATACGCTTCTTGGGATATCCAAGGCGATATCATGTTTTGGAACAACTCACTGCCAAGCCCTGGCTTTGCTGCTCATTTCGCAAGGCTGGACAATAAGGATTCTATCAAACTGAATCCTATTGTGGTGTGTAAAGCCGGTTGGAAGCCCTTTGGCGAGTACCTTACCCGCATCTTCTCCCGCCCTGAGCGAGTAAATTCCCTCCTCGTTCAGTCCTATGGTCGGCGTAACCTAGTCCCTTGCGATTGCTGCTCCCGTCGGTACGCCACTGCTTGCATGCCTGTACAGGGGCAGCAGGTCAACGTCAACTGGCCTTTCCTAGAATGCATCTCAATGGAGGGCTTCTTCAATGGGAAGTGCGGCAACTGCATTTATCATGCAGAGTCTGGGTGTGACTACACCAAAGACTTCCCTTGTGTCAAAGAGCGCAGTGCACGAGTAAGATTCCCATTCCGATGTCTTTGACCAGGTTTGAGCACACACTAATCATTGTCCTTCTCGCAGCGTCGGCACTCGTTTTACCAACTCGGCCCTCGACGTGTAATCGAGATAGATTCTCAAGTCAACTCCAATGCCGACGTCGAGCGTATTGTCAAAGCTCAATACAAGCTCATGCGGGATAAAGGTATTGCGCATAACCAGATCAAATGGGTTCCTCTTGTGCCAAGGAAGTGGTACCCACAGGATACTGTGAGTCTCATAATCAACTATGATTGCGATGCTCAAGAAGACCATTGCTAACTTTATCTGCACAGATCGGCAAGAAGAGTACTGCTCCTTCTGCTCCCAAGAAGGGAGTATCTGGGTCTGGGCAGGCAGCTCCACGACCTGTATCTCGTGGCAAGGATAAAGGCAAGGGCAAGGCTGTAGTAGGATCTCGTGTCGAGAAACGAGCCAAGTCCGTTCAATCTCAAGGTTCTTCCTCTGTTTTTGACGACGATTCTTCAGCGGATGATACGGATGACATGGATCTGGACAGGACGAGGAGAGAGCCATCGGATGACATTTACGGGTATTCCGGTGATGAGGATGATGTGTAAAAGTAAGGGGTTTCCATAGGTTGCAGTGTTTCTTCGGCGCTCTGCATTTTTCATGCGTTGCATTCCAATATACTGCAATTTTTGAACAACGAAAATGGCCTCAGAGCTGGTCAACATGCTCTGTGCCGGGTGCTTTGAAATTTTTAGGTGGGTTTACAGTGTTCTGTGGCGAGTGGTAGCAGACGACACTTCGTCCCTCCTCCCCCAGCAAAACACACGAGATGGAATAGGAAAGACGAAAAGAAAACGTGTTTTGCGAACAAAAAGAAATATGGACAGAAAGAAATCAACCTCCCCCACGAGCTAGGAACGCTGATTTAGTTGGGATTGGTATAAACATCCCACTTCTATCTGCTTTCTCCTGTTCTCGCCTCTCCTTCTCTGCTGCCCGTGTGAAATGTTCACCGTCACCAACTCCATTTCCATCCTCAGCATCATCATCCGCTTCAGTTGCTAGATTGACAGTCTCTGGATCAGGACTGGTCTGGCCAGGCGTGGGGTCGTGCTCGATGATGTCTGGAACCCAGAATGTGGCGTCGTCGCTTGAATCTGCTTCCTGAACTTCGAGGATATTGTTGTCTGGTTCCCCCCGCCAGGGAGCTCTCATCGAATCCAGCTTTTCTGCCAATGGTTGGCCAGGTTGAAGCTCGACATCTTCTTCCCAGGGCATAGGCACCTCGGGTTCCCAAATGCCATCCATATTCCGCATGAACTTTTTGAGATTGGTAGCTGAATATGTGCCTTTTAGCAGAACTCCGTCTGTGGTCTTGAGCTCATAAGCATGTTTGTCTAGGACCTGAGCAATCAGGTATGGACCCTTCCACTTATAAGAGATCTTGGCATTGCGCGAGTGGCTCATTTTCCGGACGTGGTCATAGACAAGCACGAGATCTCCGACACTCAGTCGAGATTTTCGTACCAGACCCTGCGTTTGACTTTTGGCTGCGATCTTTTGACGGTATGCCTGAACAGCTTCAATTGCCTTCTGCACATCATCTTCCTTGGCTGCGATCATCCTCAACCGCATTTCAAACGCTTCCTGAGGGGATTGGTCTTCGGTCCATGTAAGAACTCTCCACGTCGGGATTTCAGTTTCAATTGGGATAAGCGGCTCCCAACCGAAAATCAAATAGAAGGGGCTGTATCCATGCGACTGGCGGATCGTAGTCCTTTCAGCGAAGAGTGCGAGTCTCAAGTACTGCCTCCATCTCCAGGGTTGAGCATCAGCTAGCTTAGCAAGGGCACTTGCTAAGGAAAGATGACCAGCTTCTACTTGTCCTTGGGCATGGGGATTGTAACTGGAGACCTGGACAAGCAGGATCCCAAGAGCTCTGATGGTCTTGGCCATCTCAGCCTTGTTTTCTGGTCCTCCGTCAACAGTAATTTTGAGAGGGCACCCGAACACAAGAATGATCTCTTCCAAAATGAACTTCCTCATTTCCGCAGCTGTAGCTTTCTTGAGGGGTCTTGCAAGCACATAGCCGGTCAGGTCACAGCGAGCCTCCGCAAGGTATCTGTAACCGCCATCCTCGGCCATGTGTTGAATGTCGATGCTGATCCTCGTGAAGGGTTGACTTGGAAGGGTCGGGATCACTCCTTCCTTCCACATCTTTGGATCGAACTTTGCACACTTCTCGCAACCCGAGACAGCATTGGCCACATCTGTCCAGAGACCTCTCCAGTAGTAGAGTTGCTTGACACGAGCTACCGTAGAGTCTCGACCTCGATGTCCAAACTTGGCATGACATTCTCTGATGATTCGGCGACGAAGATCAGGATCATCTACTACCCGTCGGCGTGGGAGTTTCGCACCAGCGCGGCGCCACAGAGCCTGGTCAAGTACTTGATGCTTTAATGCCTCTACCATGAAGTTCTTGCGATCCCTCTTGGAGAGTTTTGGTGGAATGATCCCGTGGCATAAGAACTCTGCATACCGTTTCGACTGTTCCGTCCACTGAAGAGTTGGATTTAGCAGTGGTACTAGGTCAGCTCCATCTGAGTTCACGCTGTTAAGCTGAGCATCACACCAGTCCTCAACATTGCCATCTTCGTCTTCCTTAGGTGGCGTTGAGTATGGAGGTCGAGAAAGGGCATCAGCCACAGGATTCTTTGACCCGGGAATGTGTTTGACAGTGAAGTCAAACATCTTGATCACTGCCACCCATCTGTTCAGGAGAGCACCGGGTATGTCGTTCATTCCTCCATTGAGTTGGTCCACCAGAACGCGAGCATCGGTTTCCAGAATGAAATGGCAACCATAGAGATGCCGCCGAAGAGACCGTAGGGCACAGAGGACAGCGCGACACTCCCTCTTGGTAGCATCGTACTTCTGTGCTGCAACTGTCCAGGTTCCGCTAACGAAACGTGCTGGCTTTCGTTTATCCTCTACCACCTGCATCAGTGCGGCGCCCCAGCCCAACAGGCTTGCATCCACCATAAGAACGATCTCCCCAGCATCAGTGCTGTAATCAATTGAAATGATGACTGGACGAGACGTGAGCGTCCGGACAAGTGTGGCAACAGCTTCTTTCTGTTCCTTCTCCCACCTCCACGCAGCACCTTTCTTGAGAAGATCGTAGAGTGGTCGGGCAATGATTGCGAAGTTCCAAATCCAAGCTGCATAATAGACGACCAGTCCGATGAAAGAGCGGACGTCCTTGATGTCCTTGCATTCTGTCCAGGCCAGAAGCTTTTCCACCTTCCTGTCCTGAGGTTGTCGTCCGCTGGAACCGACGACATAACCAACCATATCGACTTTCACTCGGCACCATTCTGACTTGAATGCTGAGATTGTGGCTCCAGCCAGCTCTGCATTTACAAGAACCTTGTC